ACCGTCTGGACGCTTAATTAGATTTTTGGACCTTGAGAGTGGGCGCTTAAGCATTCGAGGCTCGGTGCTAATTAAATTTTCACCATTTCCAGAAAGTGTAGTATGTTTATTTTGCAGCAATATTAATATTTTAAACATACATTGAACGCAAAACTAGTATCAATTATTTATTTAGATGAGCTTTTAAACTGGAAAAACTCAAATAGCACATGTACAAGACAAACTGACTAAAAACCTTGGAATCCTCTATCAACTACGCGATTACCTGAATTTGAACTGATGTTAAGGCAACTGTATTAAGCACTTGTTTACCCTTATCTTAATTACGGTGTAATGTGTTGGGGCAACAATTATCAGACTAATTTAAATAAGATATGTACAAAGCAAAATAAATGCATCCGTAGTATTTTTTTGCAAACAAACAAGAGCCTTCTTTACCATATTATCAAATCCTTGAAGTTTTAAAATGTGAAAATGTTGTTAAATTCAAAATCTGCTCACTGGCATTTAAATTGTACAACAATCCATCAACTGTTCCGGCAATCTTCCATATTTTTTTAACACCTACAACAACTGCCCACTCCTATAATTAAGAATTATTCACCGAAGTGGAGGTAAATATCCACCACACCGACATTGAGGCGAATAATTGTTTTAGTATATACCACACAAGCTGAATAACTAGCGGCCCAAAGAGTAACTTTATTTGTGACAATATACCGACAAGAGCCATATTATTTTTCTTCGGCTGCTCAGAGGTGACTGGTACTTGGCTAATCATCTCCGAGCTAGCCAACCAGCGCGCGCGAAAAGTACTATTCACTTGTCTGGTATATACTAACACCAGAAATTCCGTTAACCTTAGTTTTTATCGACCACAAGTTAGAACTAACATATGAAAATTTACTTTTAAGTACCGCTCTTCTTCTGTCATGTGGGAAGCTGTCGCCTTGGCGTTAAAAAAAGCAAAAACATTTAACAAGTTTAACAAATTTCCTAAGGCCCGCCTGATCTCTTGTCAATCAATTACTATATGTTCTGTTTAATGGTCAAATGTATAGTACGTAACCATCTAATAATGATAACAATTGCCTGCTTACATTTTTGTCCTAGTCGTCGCTGCTGTTGTTGCTGCCGATGATGATGTGTTGTTTTTTCCTTTTTGTTTCTGCTTGTTGTTGTTGCTGTTGTTGTTGTTTCTATTTTCTTTCTTTTATCATTTGCTAAGCTTGTCCTTAAGCTTCTAAATGAAGGCCATTTCCAGCCATCGTCCGATGGCGAATAATAGTGTTCAGTAATATGCTTGATTCGTCTTGCCACTTAAATTGAGACAAACTTGGTTAGTATCTCGGTAAACTACAAAGGTTTATGAGCAAAATGACATAAGACTCAATACTAGATATTGCGAATGAAATATTTTACGGCGTCACGAAAAATGCCAATTTTATGCTTTTGGAGACGGCGCGACGGGCCCTGACAAGGCGAAATATTAAATGGCTCCTGACGCGACTAGAAAATCATTTCGAACCAAAACAAATCTGTTTTTATTGTAACCTTGGTGAAGTCTTTCAGTTGCTAGAGTTTCCGACAAAATTATTTTTCAAGCGAAATTGAGTGGGTTCCGATCTGCCAAATCATAACCGGCGGGAGACATTGAATTGGTGCTTGCTCTTTACCCGAGTGAGAGCTATTTGATACTGTTGACACATAACGTATTTTCATTTGCAAGGCCTTTATCTCAATTTATAAGCTGGCCGTGTTTGCTGTGATGATGGATGATGTGTCTCTATCAAAGTCACTTGTCAAATCTCTTATTATTATTCTATAATATGAATGTGTATAGTGAGCGATTCTGTAGCTGGTTGTATAATTAATTAGTCCATCACATGTTTCTTATGAAGTAACCATTCTATGAATTCTGAGTATTGCCTTCAATGAAACGTTCAAGGTTATCACCGGCTCCGAGGAATTGAACGGCAGCTTGTCCGATGCAATAATAATGTTTGGGATTATAAACTAAGCAATTGATGTGATATCGCTCTGAAGGCAGCACCTGCAACACCCATATCTAGAGCTATGAACTGTCTCAATCGATATTAAGCAATATCAAGGGATCTGTACGGGTCCGCAAATGATCCCAGGGGCCCGTTTCTCGAAGCTCCCGGTAATTACCGGGCCCGTTAAGCTGTTTTATTTTCCATTAAGGAAACGAGTTTCAAAAGTTTTCAAATTTGTACAGTAAAGTTTTCACCTAAGGAAACAAAATAGACTTCATTAGGGGTCAAAACACACCCTAATTTGATTTCAAAATATGATTTCGGGCCCGTTAAGTTACCGGGTCTTTCGAGAAACGGGCCCCAGGACCGCAAATGATCCCCAAATTGGACCGCAAATGGTCCCGGACCGGAAATGATCCCCATATTGGACCCCAAATGATCCCGATCAAAAAATAAGGAATGGCATGGATGGTAGAATAGGGTGGATAGGAAATTGGTGTATCTGAATACCAATATTTTTCTCGCTGTGTCTGAATGCCCGGCAGCTCGGCAAGGTCTTGAATGGACTAAATGCCCGGCCGAAGAAATTTTCACAGAATTTCCACTGAAAGATTATTTCAAATTTCTTGATGATATTTGATGTTTCAAGAAAGGTAGTGCGATTCCAAAAATTGTGCTCGTTTGTAAGACGACGAAATAGCCGAGCTTGTGCATACTATGAAATCGGCATATGCTTGACACTTAGAAAATTTACGCTTGCATCGGCAGTTAGAGATATTTACCGAATAGCGACAAAAAGCTTCTGAAGATGCGATGTATGTTTGGAATAGCCAAGGAATTCTAAAAATTATTATGGATTTGTAGTGTACGAATTATCCAAGCTTGTGTATACCATAAAATCGCGCTGATGGTCTTTAATTGATCTTAATTATTCGACTGCCGGTCACGGTCTCAAATAGATTAAGTGCCCGGCAGTCAAAATTGTTCACCGAATTCCAAAAGAACGCCTCGTCGAAACGTGTTGAGAGTATTTGAAGTTTGTTCAGAAATACTATGCGATTCTAAAAGTTATTTTGAATTAATTTGTAGTGGATTAATTCTCTGAGCTGGTACATTCCGACGGGGTTGCCACGTTCTCGATTATTGCGTGATCGGTCTCAAGTAGACAAAATGCCAAGCAGTCAAAGAGCTCGGAATTTTCCTGAGAATTCCTCTACCACAAATCCAAATTTTGTTATCGCTTTGCAATTCCTAACAAATATCAGATACTCTCAACACATTTCGATGAGACTTTCTGTGGGAATTTGTGTCAAGCATATGCCGATTTCATAGTATGCACAAGCTCAGTTATTTCGTCGTCTTACGAACGAACACAATTTTTAGAATCGCTCCACATTTCTTAAGAAACATCAAATATCATCAAGAAATTTGAAATAATCTTTCAGTGGAAATTCTGTGAAAATTTCTGACTGCCGGGCATTTAGTCCATTCAAGACCTTGCCGAGCTGCCGGGCATTTAGACACAGCAAGAAAAATATTGGTATTCAGGTACACCATTTCCTATCCACCCTATTCTACCATCCATGTCATTCCTTATTTTTTGATCGGGATCATTTGCGGTCCAATATGGGGATCATTTCCGGTCCGGGATCATTTGCGGTCCAATTTGGGGATCATTTGCGGTCCGGGATCATTTGCTGTCCTGGAATCATTTGCGGACCCGTACAGATCTACTGACAGACTTCAGCGACAATTTCAGGTTCAATGTCTTGCACCTGAGCTCAAAAGATTCATTCTTGATACCCAATATCTCTAGATGAGACTATTTGATTTTTTTTTTTATTTTTATTTTGCCTGAACAACAGTTAATTTAAAATTGACAAATTCAATAAAACAAAACAATTGTATTTTTGCAAAGACCTTATATACCATGAATTACACTCATTGGCCAAACCAAAGATTTAGGGGTATATTTAAACCTTACTTTATTGCATCTAGCAATTCTCTTTTTCATGGAATCCAGGTTTTTTCTCACAGGTAGTCTAGACGGCTCTCGCTCCCTACGTTGTTTCACGTGTTTAACTAACTAGAAATTTTTCCCTGAAGGAACGTTCTAGAATTTGAAACCTCCCACCTCCACCTCCACCTCCCACAACTCCCACAAACTTTACAAGCCCGTATTGAAAGATCTGTTAAAAACGATGCTTAGATGGTAGCTGAAGGTTTCACTCAGATGCGACTTCGCACCCTCCGAGCTTGCACCAACATCGACTCATTTAAAAAAACTTGGCCGGACTGCTATTACTGTGGCTCATTGACAAAATAATATTGTTAGGTATTTGTTTAATCTACATTCCAGTCCCCTCATCCGCTTTGTTATATATAAATAGTTGTTTTAAATTTCAACGGTTACTTTTGAAAATGTATGTAGAGTACATAGGAAACGTCAAGTCATAATCAAAATGATCAAGTTCAATATGTTTCACACTGCTCTTTGTGTCTTATTTTTGATCAAACTACGATGGCCCAAGAACAAAAGTATTTACGGTAAAGGAAGTTCACTCACAGAGCAAGGCACCAGTTTAATGCACATATACTAGAACGACCTTAATCGGAAAACGGTCACTTACATGTACCTAGCATCAATTGACCAACCCATAAATACACTGACATATTTTAGCTTTAATTCTTAGAAACATATTGACTTCGAATCCTTCTAAAGCACATGACATTACAGGCTGAGAATTCTTCTCGCAATGGAGCCCGCAGTAAAACGCCAAGGGTAAATCCGAAATCTTGTCGTATGGGGAGTGCTCGAACGTTTTACAGCTTATGATAGTGTATACAGCATTTATTATGTAGCAGGCACAAAAACTAGAAGAATTTAAAAACCGAGGTTCAAACTTCCTGTTTGTGTTTATTTCTACCTTAAAACGCTTGTTTTGAAAAAAGAAGTTTTTTTCCCGTTGAATATATATATATATTTTTTTCATTTCACAGAACATGGCAGACCATGGCACCATCGTACTATCCCTAACCGTACTTTATGTGATAACAATGATTGTAGCTTTGGCTGGTAACACACTGCTGATCTGCATCGTGTGGAAGAAACCTAGAACAAGAAATCTGACAAGTTTCCTATTTGTTAACATGGCGGTGGCTGACTTGATGGTTGCTGTGTTTCAGATGCCTGTCAGCATTACTCACTTTTACGTTTCTGGAAGCTCTGATTTTCTTGATTCTTTTAATTGCAGGTTTCTCTACTATGCTGTTTATGTCTCGATCATCGCGTCCATTTCTTGCCTTACTGTAATGGCGTTTGATCGATACTTTGCCGTTGTGCACCCTTTCCGGCGGAGCATTTGGTTCAGGAAGCCTAAGATCATTACTCCAATTATTTGGATCTCATCCATGGCCTTGATGTCGATCGTACCAGTTGCCTTTAAACTCGGCCGAGGCAAGTGTCGTATAGACATATCTCTAATTTTACCATTCTATGCTTATTTTTTTGCTATCGGCTTCCTCCAGCTGCCCCTCTTTACCATCTCAGTTCTGTACACCCTAGTTACTCGAAAACTGTGCTTTCATGAGGTACCTGTGGATCATAACGTTAGTGAAGAACAACGAGAGCAGGAAATCCCCAAGAAAAAAGTCATCCGAATGCTCATCACTGTTGTTGTGGTGTTTGCCGTCTGCTGGCTTCCAGTCACGTGTATCAGATGCACGATGGCGTCAGCATAGGTGTGGGTGGTCGTGGGGCGATGTGGGATCCTTATGTAATTATCTACATTTGCTACTGGTTCAGCCAGGCTAACAGTGCCATAAACCCGTGGTTGTATATTGGTCTAAACGGAAAGATGAGAGCAGCTTTTAAAACCTTGATCCGATGCAGCCAAGATGAAATCCCCCTAACCTCTACCACTTCGAGACGGGGGAGAGCGAGTTCCACAAAGAACTCTTTGTTGGAAACCAGAATGTAAAATAACAGTTGCTTCTCCACTCAAAGCGAGTCTATACAAAGAACTCTTTGCTAAAAGCAAAGTTGTACATACAAGTTGGTTTTTCAACCCAAACGAGACTACAAAGAACTCCACGCTGAAAGCGAAATTGTAGTAGTATGGTAGTATAGCTAGTGGTACAGTAATTTGTCTTAAACAGTTCTGTCCAAGGGGAAAAGATACGGTGCAATGAGGCTATCCCTATGTGAAGCATAACGGTAAATTCTTTTCCCCTTGTTTCTGTCCTGATCAGAGTTGTGGATCTGGACCCTAAGATCACATGGAGATCACCTGAAAATTACTCCAGAGCAAACGGCGCCGTTCTTTTTTGTAATAAAAAGCCACAGGCTCCCACTCGTCACATTAACATCAAAGCTTTCAAATCAAATATGCAGCTTTTCTAATTCCTTTTGCGTTCGTAGATTTACAGAGACTTGATCTTTTTCACGGCGACTTAAAGAGATTGTCGTAACTGTTTCAAACACTCGCTGAAAGAACACGGCAGTATTTTGGCCTTTTTGCGATCATTACAGTTCTAAGCAGACTTCGCGCAAGGTGACAGCATTTGAGCCAGAATTTAATAGAAACCAGCCATGCAAATAAATGTCCGCGTACGAACATATCCATCTTTTTCTTCGCGTATTAAATATTTTGCAGCTTCCGTCCAATCAGGACGGTATCTAAATGGACTAATTTAATGTTCAAATCAGTGAAAGGTCACGGAAATTGGGTCTGGATCCAAAGTTAGCAGCCTTGATCGGGACGCCCGTAAACAAAGAGGAGGAATGTGCAGATGGTCTGGGCAGACTTTTGTGGGGGAAGAAGATTGCGTCATGCGCCCAAAGAGGCTCTGCGTTGGAGGCCAGTTTGTTCTTAAAAATTGCTTTCGTCCAGGGCTCCCCAATTTGTTTTATTTCATAACTAATCAGATACTTGTTGTCATGAATATTTACTGTGATTGAGTGTCGAGAGCACTGAGTACCTTACAAATTCTCGGCCAAAACAGTTATGGTACACACCGGTCATGGCGTGTATTCTTATTCTCTTAGAGCTGTTTATTGCCAGTAGCTTATTTCAGCCAGTGTCTTCTGTCACTTAGTTGAAAAATGTTTCAAAGGGGAGGAGTGCTCCAAGAGAGCTATCCAGCGAAGCATTTTACTATCCCTATAAGAGACAGAAATATGTTAGTCGGCGGACAACTACTAAGGTGAAATCCTGGAGGAACTAGAAACTTTGTAATCCATAGCTTGTTAACAAGGGCTTTGTTTAAGTTACAAATGTAGAATAAAATACTACAATAGTCAGTAGAATTAAATGCATCACTAAGTATCAGGTGACGGTTTTTGGATGTCTGATCTTAATTATCATAGATTTTTTTTTACCGTTATCTCTCAGTTATGTTATTGATTTTGGTGTCCATCGATAATGCAAATCCAAAAATCGTTTTAAAACTTTGGTTAATCGTGTGATCGAATAACCGTTTACCTGCTGAACATTTGATGGAAGCATAGTGAGGTTTTCCTGTCAGTGAACGGTGTGTATTGCAAAGTAATGGACGAAGAAAGCCGCATCCAAAGTTTAATGCAGCAAAATGCGTAGGACCAATTAGCCGTTCACCAAGATCAAGAACATATTGTTGAGTCTTGTAAATGGAGAAGATTATTTTATTCGGCAGGAATTCAAGAGGGTTTGTAAGAAGGCACAATGACTAGACTAGCTAACCGATTAAATGCACAAACTAGAGGCGGAGGTTTGGGACGCTCACAACAAGGCTAAAAAATATCTGGGCAATCGGGCGAAGGACGTCGACGATTTATCTAAGAAACAAAGAAACTTAGTTGATTGCTTGCTTACCTGCTTGCTTGCTTGCTTGCTCGCTTGCCAAGGCCCGGTTCATACGTCGCACTTCTGCCGCGTCAAATACAATTAAGGCAGTAGATAATGAGATGATTTGCTTTATTATCTTTTGTTTGAATTACATTTGACACGGCAGAAATGCGACGTATGAACCGGGCCTAACTTGCTAACATGGTTACTTGTTTACTTGCTTACTTGCTTACCTTATTCCTTACTCCCAGTTCCTTCCTTCCTTCTTTCCCTCCTTCCTTCTTTCCTTACTTAGTTAGGCCCATCGTTCCACGTGGAGGATAGCCCATCGAAAACCCCTTGTCAGCGAGCTCTCACCGAGGATCTTCGATCAGCGTCTTTCCACTTGCCTTAAGCAAGTGGAAAGACGCTGATCGAAATCTAATCATCTGTTCAGGAACAAACCTAACGACAAACTGCCTGGCCGGTCTGTACGAGAAAACCCTCGAAAAACTAAATTGGGTAGAAATGGACAAATCAAAATATGGCTGCGTTTCCTAAGAGGTCCGGTAAAATAATGTAATATACATTTTTGTAAAAGACAGACCTGGTTTTCTAAAGTAAAAAAAGAACTGGTGATTTAATCAGCCCAAAAAAAGGAAGGGGGCATTGTTTCTGTTGTTTCAGTTTTATGCGTTCATCTCTCTTTTCTACAACTAATCATGTATTCTATTTTCACTTTGAACTCCTTGTGACGATATGTCAATTGTCTAGATCAGACAATCAACATTACGTTGGACTCTGTGCTCGAGTTGTTTTTCATTTTTACATCATGGCCTGGTAACATTGCTTCGTACTTCGAATACAGTTCTGTTCGGTTTGCTATTGATCAGTTTATCAAGCCTGATTTACACTGATGCTGACGTGTCTTGACGCATCTAATAACTTAATTCAAGTGTCGTATGTATTTAGCACTGTAGTGCTAATTGGGGACACTGTAAATAAGTAAATGAATATTTAAAATAGAACATAAACTATATAAGAATCCCAACTGGTGGGAGGCTGACCAGTTAGCTATTTACACAACGTGGTCGAGGAGTTGAACTCGGGACTACCAAGAACAAATCCATTACTTACTAAGATATTTTTACCGCTATAGTAAACGTTTTGCCTTAGTTCGTTAATCCCTGAAGATATATATCTGTTTTTTTTTTCTTTTTGAAAACCGGGCTACTAATACATGTCAGTGTCTCACACTGTTCGGTAATTTAATGTCCCTTCTTACTGAAAACGTTAAATCTCCCTTCAAAAACAAACTCTTGAATACAATAGCTGCCATTTGATGGAAGTGTCTGTCCTTTTAAAGGCAAAAAACGTAAAGCTATCCTTGTTAGTTTGGAATATAAGACATTTTAACGGAACATTTAAGTGTTAGCGTCATGCACCGATTGGAAAGCCATTTTCTCAACAAACGTCATTTTTCATTGCAACTGGTCCCCCAAAAACGATCCAAAAAGGCACGCCGCAACAAAACAAGGTCCTACAACCACCAATTTAGCTGTTTGTGACTTGGAACATTATCTACAGAGTGGGTCATTGCTTGCATGCAAACAGCGTAAGAAAACTGCACAACAGTGTAAAAATACATCGAACTTTAAAACAACCCCACCCCTTGCATTTGAACCAGACTACCCTAAATATATACCAGATATACACCAGGTAATAGCCCCGTGTCTAGGCAACAACACCACACCCAGCAAGACAGACGCCCCCACCCCCCCCGTCCCCATTTCCATTTGAGGGGGCACTTAGCTCAAAAAGACAGGTATAAGGCTCGGCACCAAAAATCAGCAAATCCGCAGTCTAGCACAAAACATGCTCTTTAAAACAACCCCACCCTTCCTCAAATTTAACCAAGCTATCCCAAATGCATACCAAAAGATAACCCTGTGTGTATACCACTAGATGACACACAGCTAGACAAAAGCCTCCTCCATCTGAGGAAGACACTAAGTTTTCAAAGACATGGGGATAGGTTTCGGTAAAAAGAAAATCTTTAAATCCAGTCTAGCACAATGCATTTACCTTTTGAACTAACCCAACCCCTCTGGAATTTCTTCAATCTACCCAAATACACACCAGACGATTGCCCTGTGTTTGTGCAACAACCTGACACTCAGCATGACGGAAGCCCGTCCCTTCCCCATCAAAAAAAAAAATTTGGCTGGCTTTTTTGGTATTTCCAGTGACTTCTGTCAATTCCAGGAACCTATTTGGAGCCCATTGTTAAGAGCTGAGGGTGGCTATTGCTGAAGAGGAATATTTTTTTAAACTTCCCTACAGTGGCAAGATGTCACTGGTATGGAAGCAGACAAAAAAATAGAAAGCTTGGCAAACTATGTATGGTTTTAAAGAGTACCAAATGCTGTTTGCATTTCACATCTGCTTTTGATTGACAGAAGAACCCCTGTGGATTTGTGACGTCATAAATGTGCATTTTTGGTTACATTTAACCAAGAAAATTTAATTATTTTTCTTAATTAAATCAAGAGAATACGAGCTAGGACCTGTTTAGGACGCACATCTGAAACAACGATCTGTGACAACTTGACTTCAAAAGTTTCAGTTAAATGCATTTAATGGTTTTCAATATGTGCTTCTTTGAAGTTGACAGATTTGATAAGCTTAATTAGCATATTTCGCAATGTGCAAGATCAGAAACTTGTTTGAGATACAGTTGACACATTTTTAGTAGTCTCTTTCCTAATTATGCTCTACTGAAAAAGGGAGATCTTTTGTTAGTCGAGACTGTGTTATCAACTTGAAAACGTATTTTATTTTTCGATAATATGCTTATAAAGTCATCGTTCGCCGGCGAACGATAATTTAAAAGAAAAAAAAATTAAAGGGTTCAAGTACACCTAGCCCCAAAAATTG